GATTTAAATCCAACGTGAAAAATGTGGACACGGTGTTCCTGGTCGCACTAAAGGGTTAACACCTACGAGCAACGCACACATGCACGCACGCACACACACACATGCACACACACACACACACACAGCAGCTCAAGCAGCCTTCGAATTAGATGCACGGACAGTATTGTTAACTCCAGCACATCATCATCATCATCATCAGCATCATCTTCATCACAACCATGAGTCACCCTCTGCTACATCCAGCCGCGCTCACGCAGCAGGAGCCGAGCAGCACAAAATGGCACCTGAGCGTTTGTGCAGAACAGCAGAGCGAGGAGATGGAGATGACGAACATCAGCCACGTTCTGGTGCACACAGAGCAAATAAATAAATAAAAACCTCGACGCCTCTGCAAGAACCAGAGATTAAAACCTGGATTCAGATTCAGGAGGAACCCACGATGATGCCCCCTCCCCTCCTTTTTTTTTTTTTCTTTTAGCATCTCCATCAACATCTTCACACATAACACACAAGCAGCATCTCCCGGGTTCTCACCGTTTGGTCGCCCATCCACGGTCCGGAGAGCCAGCAGCCCATCGTCACGGCAACAGAGGACAGCTGCCCGGGATGCTGTGAAAATCAACGACGCTGCTGCTTCCTTCAGCAGATCTCCTCCTCCTCCTCCTCCTCCTCCTCACAGCCTCTCTCCTCTCTGAAGCCTTTCACTATCACTCTCTCCTCAGCATCCGTCCTCCTCCTCCTCCTCCTCGTGAATCCTTCTTTCTTTCTTTCTTTCTATCTTTCTTGCGTTTTCTGTCCGATCCTTCTGTTTCTACCCTCGACCCTCCCCTTCCTCCACAGCTCCAGGTTTCAGCATCCTGCACACACAACACACACTCTCACACACACACACACTTGCATGCAGCGCTGCAAACAGGAGAAGATGCGCAGGCTGACACGGTGGGATGGAGAAGGGAAACACGCAGACACACAGCCAGGACGCCGCCTGATTGGCCGCCTTTCAGGGCTCCTCGGCCAATCAGACGCGGCGTTGTCCCCGCGGACGTCTTCCTCTGTGGCTGAAGCTTCTGCTGCAGCAGCCGAGGAAACACACCATCCATCTTCTAGCTGCTCAGCCAGGATCCCCCGGCAGGTGCATGCTGGGAGATGTAGTGCATCCGGGCGTACACTGGATTTTAAAAAAAAGAGGACATTTATAACAGTTTTTAACTAATAAATCACAGACGTTAATTAATTAAATCACAAAAAAATGTGAATTCAAACATTAACCCGAAATAACAAAACGGCAAAACTACAAGTAAAATCCACCTTTAAAAGAAAAACAGTATTTGTATCTGTATTTTTATAAATAGTATTTTCATCTCATGCAGTGTTAGACCACATACAGACGACTATATTTAAATCAGATAAAACATCATTATGTGACAGATATTTACCTGCAGTTGAAAGAAATACGTATCATGAGGATTGAATAGAATAAATGCAAATTTGTATATTTGTTTATAACACATACTACCCAATAAAACAAGCACTGCAAATGAACTTTAAAAAACAAAAAAACATATATTATTATAGAATTATTCCCCTTTTTTTAAAACAGATTTTTAAAGAATTTTTGAAATATACAAAAATATTCATAAAATGGACATTTAATTTTAGCCGTCTACTCTAATATAAAATAGGTAGTTTCCCTTTTTGCACTTTCCCCCCAAAAAAGTATAATTTTAAAGAGTTTTTCCCTCTTTTTTTTTTTTTACAGATTTTTTCCAGAATTTTTGAAATACACAAAAATATCAATAAAATAAACATTTAATTCTAGCCATCTATTCAAATATTATAAATAGGCAGTTTAATTGATTTCACACATGTAAACATAAAAAAAAGTTAAAGATTGCGCATGATTTAAAAAAAAATAAAATTTATTTTTTTATTAAAATAAAAAAGAACTAAGAGTGGAAGTATCATGTAATTTTATTAGATGTTTATTTTCTCTTATGTTATTTTTTTTTTTGTCCCTCTAGCTGCTGGAATATTAACATTTTTTTTGTCCATCTTTATTTTTACAGGTATGTACTTCTCAGGAGATTTAACTCGTGAGTTGCAGACTCTGAACCCGGTGACTCCCAGAAGGCTTCAACCTGTCAATAAAACATCCCGGCGCCGGGAGCGTCCTCCGCTGAGGTACCGAGTGGAGCTCAGGCTCTGATTGGCCGACGGCGTCTCCCGGGAGGAAAAAAAAGAAAATCTGCACAGAGTCAGAAAACATCCACCATCCTGCCGCTCTCTGCAGTAAAACACACACACACATGTACGTCGGCTTCATCTCGTCTGATTCATTCCCGCTGACCCTGCTCTGACTGCTCGGTCGTTATGGCAACCGGCTGGCCTGCCAAATATGTGCTGCTTTGTTAATTCCTGAGAGCTGAAAGTGTGCAAGAGGAGAGCTGCAAACTGGTTTCACTGGTGGTGCAGATGTTGGTGAGGAGGAGGAGGATGCTGCTGCTGCTGAGGATGATGATGATGATGATGATGATGACGGGTGCATCTGGATGCCTGTCGCTGCCATTTCTGCGCTGAAGTACGGAGGCGGAGAGCGAGAGCGAGCGAGCATGTGTCAGAGTCGGCCTCAGCTGCGACACACAGACCTGTCTGTGGCTAAAAATGGAAAACACACTTGCTGTTGCTGAGAAGCCACAAGAAGCTACTACAGGAGGAGGCTGTCCACGCAGGGATCCACACGAGCATCCTGCGGCCCTTCAACACGGCGGAAACAGATCATGCACCGACACAGCTGGGTTTCATTTAAGGTTCCTGATTTCTGTAAATGAATTTCCACACGAGAAGGTTCACAGCTTCTGTCCAAAACCCAGAAAAGAGAGCAGAAGCGCTGATAAAATCCTCGTCTTGGTCTTAAATCTTCAGACTTGAAGGTCTGAAGGCGCACTTGGTCTCGTGTCGCAGAAGCAAAGTAAAGTCAGTGCCTCCTGGTTTCGTCAAACTGTTGCCCCTTAACGAACCAAGACCGAGACTGGTTTGGTCCCTCAAGACACAACATGAGGCCTCGTCTCACTTTGGCCTCAAACAAGAGCAAGAGGATCGACAAACCTTCACACAATAGAGAAACACTAATATATGGTTAATATGTGAAGGATGGAGAAGAATGACGTGTCAGCAGTAGAATCCACCAGAACCAAAAGGTTAGATTAGAAAACAAAATGAAGCCTTACAGAGAAACCAAGGCTTAAATTTCATAGAATTCAGTCCCACTAATCTCTGATTAATTCCTAATTTCACGTTAGTAAACTGTAAAATAAATAAATAAATAAATAGAAATATTAATATAAAAGTTTTTAAGTTATTCCCATATTTTTGAAATATGCAAAAATAAATTCAAAAAAATTCAAAAATAGACTTAATTTACATGTCTATTAAATTGTTCAAATACATTTGCAAATTTATCATAATGTTTCCTTTTTATTTCATAGATGAAACCATTAAATTCAGCTTTAACAGCCTAAATAAATTTCTAAAATTAGATATAATCAGTGAAAAATAACAGAATAAGAAGTAGTTTTCCACTGATTTGTCTGTTCAATAAGGGATCTTGTATCTTGTAAAATCTTCACACGACAGAACGCGGTTAATATGAGGTAGAAAATAAAATGTCGTCAAATATAGTAAAACCAAAAAATTAGATAAGAACATTAATAGAAAAACAAACTAAAGTTTCCCAGAGAAACAAGGCACAACACCACTGCTAGAATCCTGCAGTTAAGAAAAGGCCTTAAAGTGAGTCTTAGGAACAGATTTTAAAGAGAACACTGAGTTTGTCCTCCTGAGATCTTGATCTTGCTCGAGGATCTGAGGCTGTTTAAGGTCGAGGGAGTCGGCAAGTCACGAATAAGAGTTTTAAAAACAAGTGATCAGCGTGTGGTCGCTGCGTGGAAGAAGCATTTTGAATTAACTGCAGTGGGGTCTGGATATAAAAGCACGAGTGACCTTTTCTGAGTCTGCAGCGGAGAGGAATGATCCGATCTGGGTGAGCCGCCTCAGGTGGGCACAACGAGGCTGCACCGGTTGGGTCACCTGAGCAGCAAAAGTCAAGCCGGAGTCGGAAAACATCAGCTGCGTTGTGGGCGTCTTTACTCTATGAGGAACCAGACCAGTGGAGAGGCTGCGAAGTCTGCAAGAGCTGGCAGGGAACGTTAATCAATATTCAGATGATGATTCCATGATAGCAAATGACAAACGCTCTCAAAACAACATTCCAAAAATGTTCTCCAGATGTTATTGAGGCCTCAGATGAGAGAACGTTTCTGTAATGTCATATATTAAAGGTGAAATATTTTTCTTTTTTGAAGAAGAAGAAGAAAGACATCATCAAACGTTCTTCTATGAGATCTGTGTCACTTCACTGTCTTATAATAGCTTTGATTTGGTCCACTTGCCTTTTATTTCACTTCCAGTACTTGCTTTTTTTAAATATTTTATCCTTCATTGTATATTCTACTTTGTTTCCTGCTTTGAAACCTGCTCCGTAATCAAACAGATCCTGGTTGTGGCTCTTATTTGTATATTTCAGTTTCATTTTCTCTTTTCGCGTACACTTCGTACTTCGCACTTCGCACTTCATAAACTATTTTGTCTTGACGCGGCACCCGTACGCGACCCAGTTCAGCGGATGGGCGACTCTGATTGGTCCGGGAGTCGGAGCTGCGCAGTGATTGGCCAAGCTGTCAGTGCAGCGCTGTGATTGGTCAGATTGTCAGCGGCACCGGAGCGGGCAGAGTAAGACTTTTGCCCTTTCGACCACTTCAATTCAGTTCAGTTTGTCCGCTTTTTAGCCGTTTAGCAGCTTATTTTTCCAGTTAATTTCGCACCGACGCAGCGTGTGAAGGAGCGCCGTTACCACACACGTCTAACGTCATTTATAAATGAAGTGTTACGAGATTTTTAACTGCTGTTTTGAGGGAGGTAGCTTTGTTAGCTTAGCAGGCTAACTCCCCATTGGAATCGCAGCTGGTTAGCGCTAGCTTAGCTAACAGCCACTAACAGGAGTGACTGCAGCGGCTCAGGAGACACCAGGTAACAGAAAAAAACAAATAAACAAACAAAAATAACAGAGGAACCTCAATTATCAGGTGCTACATGAGTTTTTAAACACACGGTTCAGCAGTACCGGTTAGCACTGAGCTGGACCACACCACTGTTTAGCCCACGTTTAGCTCATAAAGTGCAGATTTTACTCTCTTGCATCTAATTAATAATCAGCTGCAAGTTGTTTTACTGGCTTTTAGTGCTGCCAGAGTTCTGACTGTGATAGGATACCTGCCAAACAAACCAGTACAGAAACAACACCACAGCAAAAACCTTAAAGATCAGGGAAAGTGATGGAATAATTAATGACATTTGCTTACAGAGACGTTTGCAATGCTGTTAAGTTACAGAAAAGGCTCAATTAAACCGTTATCACTGCCTTTAAATACCTTGTGGGATCCCCATTAGTACCAAAATCCTGACTTTAAACAGGCTTCATTCATGCAAATTGCTGATTATTTAAAATAACTTCCTCTCTTTTGATTCTCACTTTCATTTTGTGAAGTCAGCTCTAAATATCCAGTGGTTCTGTTCAACTTGTCTGCACTTTAATTCACTTTTTCAAAATCAAATTGCCATCTTTATCTCTTGATTGTTTGCATTTCTATTCTTGTCTTCCCCGTTGTTGTAGTCGATAAGATTGAATTGTTCTATGACGTTTGTGTGCACGTAATTCAAATAGTCTGTTCTGTAAAACTTCATCTCTGTGCGATGTAAGATGCTGCAGAAATACACCTGCTTGCTTGGATTTTAGTTCAGCATTCTGCAGTCTTTTAAACATTGTTGGAGATGAAAGTCATTTGCACCTCTGACGAATAAATTTGAAGCCAGTTATTACACAGTTTGTAGTCTGACAGTCTTGATAACTGTGTGCATAATGAAACACCAACAACAGTGCAAACCAACAGTTGTCTGGAGGTCAAAGCTCTGACGTAGATTGTCTCTTTCCTCTCCCAGCATGAACTGTCCCCCCACGAAGCGCCTCCGAGGCCTGAACCAGGGCGTGGTGACCGCGGCGGCCTTCGACGACCCTTTTGGAGACGACGAAGGCTTCACTCAGGATGACTTGGATGAAATCGACATCATCGCCTCGCAGGCCATCACCTCAGCTGCCGCGGGGGCCGGGACGGCGTCTAAACCCGGAACCAAACAGGCGGAGGCGGCCCGCGGGTCGACCCGGGCGTTTTCCGCGGGGCGGAGCAAACCTCTGAGCGGGACCAGTCAGAGCAGAGAGAACTCTGTCGGTTTCAACAGAGGAAACGCTGGGACACCGAGCAGGGAACCTCTGGGTGAGTTCAGGACAGAACTGAACAGAACTCTGAAATATGCTCGTATGTAAACAAATCTGGTTTATTCAGAGATTTAGTCCCACTGACCACCTGCATCCTCATATGATTCAGTCCCTCTGACAATGTTCCAAAACAGGAATCTGCTGATTTTCATCTCTCCAGGTTGACATTTTTAACTTGATTTGAATGAAAATAGAACGTAAGCCATTACATCTTTGATAGCAGATGTAAACTTTGGTTCAGTCTCTAAATATGTTTCATGGTCATCACGTGTGAACATTCTTCATACGTGAGGTGATGTTTAGAGGTAACAGTTGAGACGTGGACGACATAGATCGGTAGATGTTGAGAGAGTACAGGCAGGATCTGACAGGAAATTTGCTGAACACTGAGTTTGTGAATCACAGTGAATGTACGTCCTGTCAGTTGGGGAACTCTGACTGTGTTAAAACCTTTGCAGCGTTCTTGAACAAGCAGACGACAGAATGAAAGTCAAACAGCGCAGTCGGTGCTGCTTTTGTGTTGACGAAGCTCCGCCATCTTGTGTGTTCAGGTACCAGGCAGCAGCAGTTCGGGTCGGACCGAGACGACTCCTACCGTCTCCTGGAGGCTCAGCATGCGGAGCTGAAGAGGAAGGTGAGACCCGCTGTATAAAAATACAAGCATCGCCGGTACACGTTTGAGAAGGCAGCTCAGCCAATCATAGTGACAAAACTTTAAATTTAGCAGTGCTTTATTAAAGTATTATACATACAGCGTTGTTAATCAATGTCTTATTCTATGCTGACAGGATCATATAGAATATTTTCTGTGTCAAATCATTCCAGCTTCAGCTGTATAATATCAACACTACATGAAAGAACAGTTTCTGTCTGATAAATGGTTGGACGTGGTCAGGTTTAGATGAGCGTGTCTTGTGTGTTATCAGCTGAAGGAGGTGGAGGAGGAGATCCTGTTGAAGAGCGGCGAGATCCGGGTCCTGAGAGACTCTCTGAGAGCAGCTCAGCAGGAGAAGGAGGCTCAGAGGCAGAACCAGATGCTGCTGGACGCCGAGAAGCTGAAGGAGCAGAGCGACAGGGAGAAGGAGCTCAACAAGAAGGTGAGGAGCTAAAAACACATGTGCGCAGATGCAGTACGAAGGGCTGCTCGAGTTATCGTTCCAGCATCGACGGATCTACAAGAGAAGTCTGTTTGAGGCCTCGTCCACACGTAGCAGGGTTTTTATAAAACCGAATATCCTCCCCTCTACACACCACCTTGTTTTAAGTTACTTTTAATTTTCTGTGAAGACGTGTTCCTGTACAAAACCACTGTAATCATTCTAGATTGATTAATTCTTCATAAAACAGTTAATCTGGTGAAAAATGCTGTATTTTTTCACATCGCAGATAAACGAAATGTCGTTTTATTCCCCCTAACAGTGCGTTTGATCCTCAGATTGACTCGTTTTCTGTGCTCAGGTTCAGTCTCTGCAGTCGGAGCTGCAGTTTAAAGAAGCGGAGATCAATGAGATGAAGACCAAACTGCACAGTTCAGACAGAAACAAGGCCGCGTCCTCGCCGCTGCCCAGGAACAGGTCAGTCGCCCTCAGCATCACAGACGCCAGATTTAACTGTTCAGATAAATGTTTTATGTAAATTATCTTTATCTGTTCAGTGGTTGATTTATATTGTGATAAGCGGAAAGCCTATGGGTCAGTCAGACATGTTGAGTATTTTGTGTTGTTGACCATTTAGTTGTGCTTCTGTTTATCTGTTTTCTCAATCAGTTAAATGCTTTACTTGGTGTTTACAGACTCCTATTTGACGCCGTGCAGCGTTGAACAACCCCTGATCGTCATCTTCCATCTCTAATTATTAAACTCTTCTTTCTTTCTCTGTGCTCGCAGCCCTAAAGTACTGACGAATCTCGGGACCGGCAGCAGCTCGTCTTCACCGATAGGAAACGGTTTCATCACCAAGGAGATGTTTGGGGCCCAGATAACGTCCAGAACCACACCGGTGAAGACCCGGAGAGACGGTGGGTCTGATGATGATGGTGCTTAAACCTGTTTACGAGGTTTAAATCTCTGCTCACAGTTAAAGTCTTTATGTTGCAGCGGACAGAACGGTGTCCAGCAGCAGATCCATCGACAGACAGGAAGCGACTCGTCCAGACCCCTTCGTGTCCGTCGTAGCTGCTCATCGACAGCAGAAAGGTCGGTCTTTTCAGAACCGCTACACGAGTGCCCCTGGTGTACATCTGGTCCTGATTATGAGGAAGGATCAAAAGGTTCAGATCGTTGTTTAGTAGTTTCCTCGTGTGTTAAAGTTAAACTCTGTCTTGACAGTCTTGACCCTGGGGATGAAATCACAGAGCACAGCCGCGTTAATGTTGAAGAATAAAGCAAATCTGTCAAAACGTGACCCAAAATTTGTTCAGAATGACACAGAATCCGTCCAAAATGACTGGAAACGTCTGTAAAATTACTCAAACTTTGTCAAACTCAGAATTTGTCCAGAATAACAAAAAGTTGTCCAAAATAACAAAAACAACTTTTTCCAGAATCAAAAAAAAAATGCCAAAAATGGCTTGAAACTTCCAGAAGATTACTAAAACTTGTTCAAAGTGACTAAACATTTGTCCATATTGACTCAATATTTGCCCCCAAAACAAAAAACCATATACAAAATGTGTCCAAAATGACAGATCTCCAGACAGCATCAACAATTGCCTAAAAGGACTTAAAATGACTCAGAATTTATGCAGAATAACAAAAGAAATAGTCCAAAACGACCAACAAACCGCGTCCATAATGACTCCAACTTTGTCCAGAATGTCTAAATGTAACGAAAATGACTCGAAACTGTTAGAAAATTATTTAAACTTGTTCAAAATGACGAAACATTTGTCCAAATTGACTGAATATTTGCTCCAAAAACCAAAATAAAAATGTCCAGGAAGCATCAACAGTTAAGAGTTTATAGCAAAAAAAAGTGTCTGAAATGATTTGATATTGACAAAAAACGTGTCCAAAATTATGATCATCTCGACAATGACTTGTAGTTATACAAAATGATTAAAAAATTGTAAACAAAACTAAACAAAAACCTCTAAAAAACTTTGTGTTTTTTTTTTTTGTTTGTTTGTTTTTGGATTTTAGAGGGTAAATGGAGTAAAAATGGACAAACCTCTGATTTAATAAGCAGCACCTCTACTAGCCTTTATTAATTATATAATAATTAAACCTCACTGGACTGGTTCTCGTCTCCTGTCTGTAGAACTTCCCTGATGTCACTTGAATTTCATTATGATTATGTAAATATGTTTTATGATGTTTGTAATAACCTGTGTGTGTGTTCCCGTGATGTCCTCCAGGTGGCGTCCTGCTGGGGTTGTTACTGCAGCAGCCTCTGTCTCCCAGCAGCCTCGGCCTCTCACACCTGCTGTCCGTGGCCGAAACACACCTGACGTCCAGGTAAATGCCTGTAACCATGACGACACTGTGACAGCGACGCAGCGAAACAGGATTCCCAGTTTGCTCATATCGGACTCATTTATTTTTTATTTTTTTAAACAAACTCTGAATTGTTGTCACATAACCGTCGCTCACAGCCGAGTCACCGACGGCTTCACGGTTTCATCAAGGAGAACAGAATTTTTTGTTTTTTTTAGGATTTAGTTCGAGCAAACGGTTTATCTGTGGTAACTTTTTAAAGCCACGCATGCAGAATGAAGTGATTTTCATGAAGTATCACGACGTTAAAGCTCAGATTTGGTGTTCAAGCTTCAAATCTCTGGAAAATTCTCCCCGCTGTGCAGCTTCTGGCTCCGATAAACGGCCTAATATTCATGAACGTGTCTTTCAAATCCCCCCCCGGCAGGTTTTGAGGATCACAGAATTAACGCGACCAGCCGTCACCACGTTGTGACGCCAAATCTGCACATTTTCAGTAAAACTTTAGAAACTGACTCATAAATAAATAAATAATGTCTTTGTTGGACCGACTGTCGTGCGTTCAGTCGGCTGTCTGCAGGTTTTCTGCTCCAGTCTGGTCCTGCAGCCGCTGGAGGTGGAGGCGGAGCTCCCACGGCGGCTCTGAGTCCAGTCCAGAGTCTAGCTGTGACTGGACTCAACATGCTGAGTCAGAACCAACCGGCCGACGGCACAAACAGGTAAAGTCTGACCGACCTGTTGGAGCAGCTGCTAGAACTCAAACCATCACGTGGACAGCAGAGTCCTCTGGTGGCCGAATGATGGTACTGCAGCAACAACACAGTTAACGTTCAGTAAATCATAAAACAGGAGAAAAATTAAACTTGGATTTATTTTGTTTTTTATTTAACAAGGATAGAAAATTACAGTCAAAAGTTCCACAGGTGTTTTTTTTTACATACTTTTTTTTTTGCTTTTTACAGATTCTGGTTAGTGCAGATGTTTGAGTTTTTAATGAGACATGAAAGAAAACAATTTAAATTAAATATAACATTTGGGGACGTTTCAAGTAGTTGAAGAACTGTCAAGAGTTAAAAATCCAGCAATTGTTTCTGCTTTTACAATTTTTGGGCTGATAAATGGTGTCATTTTGCAGTTTTTTTTGCTTATTAGTTTATTTTCCCATCATTTCTGACCTTCATAATGTCATAAAAGTGAAAATATTGCCCACCACTGTGTCCTTTAAGGGTCTCTAACTGAAAGTATTATACAATAAGAAGGTAACGGCTTCAATAAATACACCAAAATTATTGTAGATTTTAAAAAACGATTCTGAAAAGGTTTTGAGGTAAGTTTTCATGTTTGATTGATTTTATATGTTGTGACTTGAATGTATTTTGTGGTTTGTGAGTTTTCTATGTTCATATTCTTCTGTAATCAATCCATTTATAACTAAACAGCTGAATGAAGCAGATCTACAAGTCTCCATACACTAAGATTACTGTACCTTCAAACTGCTTGGGAAAGCCCTGCTGATGATGTCATGGCTTTGGAAGCTTCTGATTGGTTCATTGACAACATCTGAGTTAATTGATGGTATTTACATCAACCGTTTGTGTGATTGTTTTAATTTATGTGAGCACAGAATATTAAATATATATATATATATGTGTGTGCAGGTCCAGGTGTCCCGGAGCCGTCCTCCTCCTCCCTCTGCTGGACCTCCACCTGTCTCGGCTTCGTCAGGTTCTGGACTCGCTCCGCTCCACCTCAGCCGGCAGCAGCAGCAGCAGCGGTCGGTCCGACTCCGCAGCCTCCGGCTCTGGCGGTCCGGGGAGGCCGGAGGACGCGGGTCTGACTGGGTTCAGTGTGGAGGACGCTGGTTTGGCTGCTGTGAGGCTCCTCGGCCTCCTGCTGGTTCACAGCGACGAGGTGAGGACATAATAAGTGTGTTCTGCATCATTTAACAGTTTTCAGAGTATATAAAACATAAATCAGTAGTTTTCTCTGGAGGTGTCACGTTCTGTCTGTGGTTCTTATTGCACATAAAGCTGATGTTGCACTCCTCCTTATTGGTGTGCCGTCCATTGCTGTATTTATCTTTTTTTATTTTCATTTATATGCATTTTTTTCCCCTATTTTGTATGTAGAATTCACATTGTTTGGCATTTGTGGTGAATTGTAAAGAAAGAATTTCATAGTACGGGTCCATTCTCTACATATGAGGTGTGTCAGAAAACCTCCAGGACTGGTGTCACTAAAGATGTATTTTGAATCCAAACTACCAGTTTTCCTCTTCCAAGTAATCCTCCTGGAGTCTAACACACTTCCTCAGCCTTCTCTGCTTTCACGCCACCATGCATGAAACGCCGTGGATCCTCCTCAGCTCTGTCGTCACAGCCGTCTTGATGTCGTCTTCAAAGCGGGTCCCCTTGATGACTCCCTTGAGCTTGGGGAAGAGGAAACAACCCCACGGAGCCAGGTGGGGTGAGTAGGGAGGTTACTCCAGCACGGAGATGTTCTTCTCAACCAGGAGCTGTGGGATGCTCAGGGCAACGTGAGCACGTTGTCATGGTGAAGCAGCCACCACTGGTCCTGCCACAACTCTCACCTCTTCTCTGAACGAAGCAAACGGATCTCTCTGTAGATGTGCTAGTTGATCGTCTGAAGGGTTTGAAACATATCTTTTGTGACACCAGTCCTGGAGGTTTTCTGACACACCTCGTATGACAATAAACACTTTGAATCTTAAAGACTGTGAAGAACCTGCAGAGCTGAACTTTGTTGGTGTGTCCTTCAGGTGGTGGAAGCTGTGCTGTCGAAGGAGAATCAGAACAGACGGACAGACGACCAGGTACAGACTCTACTTGACTGTTTACTTTAGTTCCATTAAGGACCATCAGGAAGTTGAACATCTGATCATTAATTTCATTTTTTACAGTTTCTGGCTGTTTTTTTTTTCTTATTATTAATCTATTTTTCCATCGTTTCTGAGCTTAATAACTTCATAAAAGTGAGATTTCATCCTACCACTGTGTACTTTGAGGGTCTGTAGCTCTGAAAATGTTCACAGTATGAAGGTTTTGGGGTTCAGAGTTATTAAGCATTAATAAATGTCCTTCTTCTTCTCCACTACAGCAGAGAATATCGATCCTAATATGAAAGTGACTTTGGAGCGAAAATCTCCTGATATTCTTGGTCATACATTGTTTACATCCTCTTAAAGAGAAACGTGATTTCCTCGTCCCTCCTTCTGGTTTCAGACCGACCGCCCGGCTGCGAGTCTCTGCTCCCAGAATGCTTTGCTGCAGTCGCTGCTGCGGTTGTGCGACGCGGGACTCGGCGCCGGTGGCTCGCAGCGGCAGCAGCTCAACGGCAACGCCATGAAGACGCTGTGTGTGCTGATCGAGAGGACGCCGCGCGCACATGTCGACAGGTACGCACACACACACACCGACAGGTACGCACACACACCAGGTTTCAGAGGGAGTGTTAGTGATTTACAAATTCATTCAACCTTTATTTAAACTCACAGTGCGCTGAGGTACAAAAGCGTCATTTACAGTGTGGCTGGATAAGAAAGAGAAGAACAAATAAGACACTCAGAAAACAACCTACAATAAAAGTTAAGTTACTACAACGCAGTTTGAAATTTAATTTATCGCATCAAAGAAATAAACTTTTTGTTGTAAAAGTCAACTTCTCATTGATCCAAACGTCCTCGTGTTTATACTTCAAACGGATCCACATTTAAAAGATTTGATTTGTGACCACAGATTGTTTTGAAAATTAGAAATTTGTCTTTTAAAATAATAATTTAAAAAAAAGCTTCATGAATGATGAATACTTTATTAAACATTAATATTGAGCTTAAACATTTTAAATCCTTCTTCTGGTTCAAGACATCAATCAAAGAAGGAGCATTTCACTCCCTGAAAACATTATTTTGGGTAAATTTTCATTTCAGTTCATATTTGCTATTTTAATTCTCACCTGTTTCCAAACCTGAAAGTTAAAGAAACTGTGAGTAAGTCAACAGATGAAGTCCACAGACGTGATTCGAGCTGCAGGCAGCAGTGAAGGCGACACGAAACCCTCTGAAGCCTCTAATTACACTGCAGAGTGTGCAGGATGACACACACACAGATACAGATATGATGCAACCCTCAGCTGTGTGTATCAGCATGTGTGTGTGTCGGTGACTCAGCGGTTGTGTAACGTCTGACTGTAAACTACCTGCAGTGATTTACTGTCACCACGGTGACGCTGCCGAGACAGAAATAGCCGGAACGAGCCTGAGAGTCCACGGAGACCAGCTGGGGACGTTTCTGGAAGTAAACAACTGATTTAAAAGAACATAATGAGATAAAGTAAATATTTATGACAGTCGTATTCTGGCAAAGTTCTACAGAGAAAGTTCTAGCAGAGCATCCACAATGGGACTCTTTGTGTTTCAGCTTTAAAGTTTTGTTTTCCTGTAATGTATCCGCCTCAAAACAAACATCCAGACCGATGACAAGCTTCCCTTTAGAGGCCAAAGTGGTTCCTCAAAAGGAGAAACTGAGCTAAAAGTTCTGCACAGTGTTTGTTTTTTCCCACAGAGATGACTAAGCTGTTGTTTTTGGGTTTGTTTCACGGTGTTGCCTTCCTGCTGATATGAAGCTGCTCACACCTGAGCTGTGTTTCCCCCTCAGGTTGCTGTGTGTGCTGCCGGTGGTTTCTCTCAGCGTCTCAGCGGACAGCCGGCTGCAGACGGTCTCAGAGTGTTTGTCCGTGCTGACGTCGATGTCCGACCACCAGGCGCTGGCCGAGCAGCTCTGCTCTCAGCACGGTGAGGCTGCAGCTGCACTGACTTCAATTCATCTGTGATTAAGGATCTCTGCGATTGATATCGAGCCCAAACATCAGCCTTATCTTTTATTTATGTTCACGAGGGTTATGCAACACCTGCACAGCTTTCCCAACTGATAATCAGATTGAATAATCAGTGACGGGAATTAACAGCTGACAGTTGATATTTCTAAAAACAGGAACGTAACACAAGCTGCTCTAACAGTTTGAGCTACAGTCTCAGAACTCTACTGCTCACTTTGAATTCTTTGGTTGGAACCTTTAAACATCCCAGAAGTCTCAGGCTAGTAACCGTTAGCAGGAATTAGCTAAGTTTGTTCCAGAGTGGCTCAGTGGACGGTGCTGTTTGAGTCAGTAGCAGGAATTAGCAAAGTTTATCTCATCATGACAGAGTGACTCTAGTTACCTGGTGCTGCAGCTGAGATGCGCGTAAAGAATTCAGTTTTTTTGGAGCTTGTGGAGCCACGGTTCACCCTCCACACTACAGTTCATGTCAAGTATATTCAGTGCTTAACAAATTTAATAAACAACACCTGTCCGATCTGTTAAGCACGATATGTGTCGACCATCCAGCATCATGAGGCGCTTTAACTCAGCGCTCCACGTTTTACCGTTTTGAACAGGAATGAGGAATTTCAAACCTGAATTCGCCTTTTTATAATTGGTAATAATAACTGAGTAGATTTATATAGCACATACACTGTCATTTATTCATTCACACACATTCATTCGGGTGGTGGTAGCCACAGCCGACAGAGGCGTGGCTGCCATTCTGCCCCTCAAACCACCACCTCAAACAATCCATTCATACGTATTCACACCAGTGGGTGTGAATACCACAGTGGGTGAAGTGTCTTACCCAAGGACCCAACGACTATGACACAGGTTAGAGGGCGGAATCGAACCACCAACCTACCGATCATTAACCGAGCCGCTCTAAAGCTCCACCACCTGAGCCACAGCCGCCCTTTTCATACCCAAATCTGAGCCAGAAATGAATCAAACCTAACATTCAAGCACTGAAACTCATTTATCTGTTCAGGAATGTAAGTAAATAATCAAGAAATATTAATGTGCTTTACTGTTTTTTTCTGTTTTTTGGTAAAACAATACATTTAAAAATTCATGACTAACAATAATAATTATATTTTAGCATTAAAAACATCATTTGGGTTAAAGAGCTTCTACATACTGGTGTATTAACCATCACAGAAACACAAGAAATGATTCTGTTAACTACCAATGCTGTTAATTTAGGCCATAAACCTGACTCTGGGTGGTGGTCTGTACATAGGACATGGGACGTCCGTGTCTCTAATTTAGAATTTACAGTTTCATTTAGACGCTTTTAACCAAAACAACATACATCTGAGAGCAGATCACATTCATACACCAGTGGCGACAGAGCGTCCATGCAAGGTGCTGCCTGCCACTGGGAGCAGCTTCAGGTTCAGTGTCTTGCCCGAGGACACTTGGCGGGGGATCCAACCACCAACCTTGTGATTAGAGAACAACTCGCTCCACCACCTGAGCCACACCCGCCCCAGTTTAATATAATTTATATACAAACCAAAGACCCGTTAATGAATGATTTTTCTGTTGTGTTGGTTCAAAGTTTCCACATGATCAGGAGCCTCTGGAAAAGCTGAACGTCGGCAGCATCTTGATTGTTTTCTTTCTTTCTTAGATCCTTGTGTTTTCCTGAAGCTCTTCCAGTTTATCAGAACCAGACCAGACGACCAGGCGGCTCACACGGACTGGATCCTGCTGGACCTGCAGGTAACTCATTCACAGCTGATGCAGAAGCGTTTTTGTTCTCAGTGTATTTTACATTAAAGCTTCATCTTTGTGTCTCAGGTGGTTCGTTTGCTGAGCCGGCTGCTGACTCAGCGAGCTGGGAGCCTGAGGAGCAGCTGTCAGTGTTACACCGAGGTAACGCTTCCTCTCCTTCTGCTCTGTTAGCATTCTGCGCTGCGTCTTTTCCTCACGACTTCCTGTTTCCTCTGTTTCCCAGCTGGTTCAGACGGTGGTGATCGTCTTCCATCGTCAGTGGTTGGATCTCCGTGGTTCTCAGGAGCCGACGGACTCGACAGGTCGGTTCCAGGTTTAACATGTTGACTCACTGTGGGCTCGTTTTTCACTGCAACATGAAGTCCTGCAGCTCTAAGGAAACAGAACAATCGTGGCTAGAAGTAGAGAGAACTCATAAATGTGTTCTGTGCAGAATAATAAAGTTAGAAAAACGATAGCGGAATTTCTTTGTTTACCGATTTTCAAAAAATTGAGCTCACAGATGAGTCAGTCATGGTGCCATGGTTTGCTTTTTGTTTTTTTTAACATAATTTTTTTCATGCTAATGGTTTGTTTTTTGGCATGTTTTTAAAATTAGACCGAATGAAAGGATTTTGATTAAGCTTCATGATTTTAGACGTGAATTTGGTTCAGTTTTGCAGCAGAACAACACAGATAACAAGATTAGAGGATTATAAAAACCTGGAACCAACATGTCCAACTTTTCTCCAACTATCCACAGTTGTTCCCAACACTTGGCAAAAAATAATAATAATAATGGAGGCTCCACGTACTGTAGATATTTACCTTTTTACATTTTTAATTTGTTTTAAGTTTTGGCCGCAGTTCAGCTGAAAAATCCCCAAATTTTTGTCGCGTGACTGTCGGTCACAGCTGAGCCACTGATGGCTTCACGGTTGAATTAAGAAACACAGAATTATTATTTATTTACAGAATCTGATGAGAACAAACTGTTTATTTTTTGCCCATTTTTAAATAAATAAAACCTGCAGAATAATGTGATTGTGATGAAACGTCCTGAGTTTAAGCTCAGGTTTAGTTCATCTTCCTGCAGATGTTTAGTTCAAGGACGGTTGGAAAGTATAAAATCTGACTTTTCTTTCTGTTTTTGCTTTTCCTCGCTCTGGTGTCAGTTTAGCGCTTTTGTAAAGACTAAATACCCACCAGCGGGTTCAGGGGGTTGAACAGCGTCACTGAGCTCAGGCAAAGTTTCTAAAATATCAAACCAGCATCTCGTCAAACATTGAAGAATTTTAACTACAACTTCTTACATTAAACAATATAAAGGCAGGTTTCTGTACATGACAATGCATCCACAGTAATAACACACAAACAGCAGTGGAGTCCTGAACTTTAAAGCCTTTTCAGTTGTTTTTAATACCATTTAAAATTAGATTTATTTGCATATTAATGGTGTAGTTTATCAGTCAACATGATGCAGATAAAACAGTTTTTTTTTTTTGGCCTTTGTGTGAATCACTTCTCACCATCCATATGTTTGTCGTTGTGCGTGTTTTCCTGCAGATGTGGCTCCGCCCCTGCAGCGGTGGTGGTGGTCCGGCCCGGCGGCGTCTCTGCTCCGGGAGTGTCTGCTGCTGCTGCACTGGCTGCTGCTGCATCACGGCAGCTTCTCGGAGAGCTGCAGGCCGCTGCTGCACATGTACGACCAGGTGATCCCCGCCGTCCGCGACACGCTGAGGAGGATCCCCGAGCTGAGCGAGAGCGAAGGTACGACAAACACCAGAACTTCCACGACGTAGTGTTTGGATTCAGTGTGTAGCGTTTCTGTAATAAGAGGCTGCAGCTTTTTCTACCCAACCAAAGACTGAAGTTATTATAGTGAGCAGTGATGTTCATACCGGAGCTGTTACACCTGAACACACCTGCTCAAGCACTAAACACCGTCACTAAAGAGCTTCCTTTGGGATTAATAACGTTTTGTTTCATCATATCTTATGCTAAGCTTGTCTCTGTTAGCAGGAATTGGCTCAGTTTGATCCATAGAGCGTCTATACATCACAGAGGCACTTAAATGTAAGTTGATGCTGCAAAAAAACGTATTTAACCCTCTGAAAGCAGGTTCTGGGCATCTAAAAATAAATAAAGTCCTGTTACACCTTCTTTCCTCACTGTGGCTCAACTCAGAGATGTCTTCTGTCAGTGTGACACAGTTATAATGACAGTTATCAGAAAACGAAAGTTGATTTTTGTGGAATATTTATTCTACAAAAGCCTGGAATCGACATGTCCAGCATTCTTCCAGGTGTTCACAGTC